ATTTATGACATGCGCCCATCTGTGTAGTTCCTGTTTCAGGATGCTTTTTTCGTTTGTTGATAAAAATGTATATTCGTTAGGTGCGCAGAGGGGTGGTTGGGTGGGCTCGGACGTGGCGAGAAGACTCAGGACAGTCCAGCCACCCAGTTGCTGTTGTGTGTGTGAGGCGAGCGCCCGAGCGCTCTCTGCAAGCCTCTGGTGCCCGACACAGTGTTAGCAGGCGCAGTCGGCTGCTCGGGAGGTGTCCGGACTGTTTCACCCAGTGTAAGTGCAGCGTGGTCCCCGCCGACCAGCCCCTCCCCATTCCCTCTCTGGCCGCCACCGTTCAGCTCTCTGCTTCTGAGCACTCAGCTGTTTCCGACCCACATGGGAGTGAGATCATGCAATCTGTTATTTTTTTTTAAGATTTTTATTTATTTATTTGACAGACAGAGATCACAAGTAGGCAGAGAGGCAGGCAGAGAGAGAGGAGGAAGCAGGCTCCCTGGGGAGCAGAGAGCCCGACGCAGGGCTCGACCCCAGGACCCTGGGATCATGACCTGAGCTGAAGGCAGAGGCTTTAACCCACTGAGCCACCCAGGCGCCCCTGTTATTTTTTTTTTAAGATTATTTATTTATTTATGAGAGAGAGAGAGAGCGCACAAGCAGGGGGAGCAGTGGGCAGAGGGAGAAGCAGGCTTCCTGCTGAGCAAGGAACCCCCTGCAGGACTCAGTGCCAGAACCCTGGGATCATGACCCGAGTCGAAGGCAGACACTTGAGCGAATGAGCCCCCCAGGCATCTGGAGATCATCTGTCTTTTTTGGGAAAGCTTTGCCTTTGTTCCTTTGGGGCCAACACACCAACCAAAAAAACCTACTTTCCATAGAAAGGGGTTTTGAGAGTCAGTGATAGGCTCCGCTCCCCTCATTGTCTGGGCAGACCGCAGGCCAGAGGATGGCACTGTGCCATCTCAAGGTCATGTGTCTCAAGGTCACAAGTAGGCCTGACCAGCCACACTGAGAAATCTGTGGGATACAGGACTTTCGGTCGTAAAATCGGGATGGTCTTGGGAACACAGGCCTGGGTTGGTCGCCCTACAAGCTGGAGAGGCCTTGGGTTCGTCTGGCCAGTGCTCGTTTTGTCTGTGTTCACGCACGATTACGGGCTGGTCTCGTTTCTGCCGCGCCGCTTGGCGGTCGCAGAGCGGCCTTGTCTGCCCAGCGGGTCCCGTCACTGTGGGCTTCCCCTGCCCACCCATGAGCCCTTTCTCGGGCCACGACAGCTGCGGTTCCTCCGTCCACCTCACACACGAGGAATGGGACTCTCAGGAAGGCCCCAGAGCCCATCCACAGCGTGGCTGGGACGACTCCCGCACACCCAGACCCTGGGTCTCCCATCTGCAGTCCCCTGCCCGCCCCCAGCAGCCCAGATTCTGGAGGGAGGCAGCGACCCCTCATGCCAAACTTTTCCTCTGTCGGCTCTGAGAGCTCCGTGGGGGTTGTTTTTCCAACATCCCAGTCCAGCCTTTGTAAGCAAGCGTCCCCAGGTGGTGCCGGGAGCCTTCAGAGACCGCTGGGGTGTAGCTGGGGTAGAGACGACTGACTTGACTGACATCACTCACCCCTCTCCACTTGTCCCGGCCTCCCCCTGCCTCGGCTCCACCTGTCCCCGCTGGGCTTTCCGGAAACAATGCAGGAGAGGAGACCAAAAAAAAAAAAGGACAGAGGGAGGGAGATGGGATGTTCTTATTCTCAGGGCTCCTGCTTGGGAAGGTGCAGGGGACCAGGATGTTGTACACGGACTCCTTGGAATGATCTTCTTGTTCTCCCCAAAGTGTGAGACAGCCTGATTCCTATTTGTGTGCGTCTCTTCAGGAAAGACTGAAGTTGGCGGGTTAGATGCTGCTGGAACCAGGTGTGTGGCTGGATGTGGGAGAAGCGTGGGAAGAGGAGGCTTCACCGGATACAGCTCCGTTTGTCCATCCGCCCATCCATCCATCCACCCATCCATCCGCCCATCCATCCGCCCATCCATCCGCCCTACTCCCTCTGCCTGGCTTGCCGTTCCCTCCCCCTCCTGGCCATGCTAATCAGGGCCCCTTTCCTCCCAGTGCTCTCCCATCATTTCTTTAGGAAGCATTTTTATCCCCTCATGAGGAAAGGATCCCTTGCCCTCGGTCAGAAACTCAAGTTCCTACAAGCGCGAGGCGGGTGCTCTAGCACCCCTAACTGTGCTCCTTTGTCTTAAGTTCAGACGTGTCCTTTCTCATCTTCTTCACGTGACAGTTCAATTTCGGTGTCGGTCGAAGGAGGAGATCAAGGTATACGGTGTATTTTCTTCCCCACTAAAAGACAAAGGCAGCTACTGTTCCCTCCTTCGAGACGCACACCCAGGTGTTCCCGGTACTATGGCTGCCGCCAAACTCACCTCCACACCTTCAGTTTGACAATATATTAGAAATCAATCAATCAATCTATCAGTTCACATAGTTTCCTTATTCTTCTCACTCCTGCACAGTATTCTTGTCATAGATGGGCCACAATTTCTCTACCCCGTCCGTGTTTCTAGATACTGAGATGGTTTTCCATCTTCTGGAATACAATCTAGCATTTATGTTTTTAAACATGATTTTGAGGGGTGCCTGCCTGGCTCAGTTGGAAGAGAGTGCAGCTCAATCTCGGGGTGGTGAGTTCGAGCCCTACATTGGGTGTGGAGATGACTTAAATGAATAAATGAATAAACTTTAAAAATTTTTATCTTATTTTTTAATTTTTTTAAATTGTTATGTTAGTCACTATACAGTACATCATTAGTTTCTGATGTAGTGTTCCATGATTCATTGTTTGTGTATAACACCCAGTGCTCCCTGCAATCCGTGCCCTCCTGAATACCCATCACCAGGCTCACCCCCCCACCCCCCCAAAACCCTCAGTTAGTTTCTCAGAGTCCACAGTCTCTCATGGTTCGTCTCCCCCTCCGATTTCCCCCAACTCACTTCTCTCCATCTCCCCATGTCCTCCGTATTATTCCTTATGCTCCACAAATAAGTGAAACCATATGAGAATTGACTCTCTCTGCTTGACTTATTTCACTCGGCATAATCTCCTCCAGTCCCATCCATGTTGATACAAAAGTTGGGTATTCATCCTTTCTGATGGAGGCATAATACTCCATAGTGTATATGGACCACATCTTCCTTATCCATTCGTCCGTTGAAGGGCATCTTGGTTCTTTCCACAGTTTGTCTATTTTGGACATTGCTGCTATGAATACTGGGGTACACATGGTCTTTCTTTTCACTACATCTCTATCTTTGGGGTAAATACCCAGTAGTGCAATTGCAGGGTCATAGGGAAGCTCTATTTTTAATTTCTTAAGGAATCTCCACACTGTTCTCTAAAGTGGATGCACCAACTTGCATTCCCACCAACAGTATAAGAGGGTTCCCCTTTCCCCACAGCCTCTCCAACACACGTTGTTTCCTGTCTTGCTGATTTTGGCCATTCTTACTGGTGTGAGGTGGTATCTCAATGTGGTTTTGATTTGAATCTCCCTGATGGCTAGTGATGATGAACATTTTTTCATGTGTCTGTTAGCCCTTTGTATGTCTTCATTGGAGAAGTGTCTGTTCATGTCTTATGCCCATTTTTGACATGGTTATCTGTTTTGTGTGTATTGAGTTTAAGGAGTTCTTTACAGATCTTGGATATCAGCCCTTTGTACTGTCATTTGCAAATATCTTCTCCAATTCCATGGGTTGCCTCTTTGTTTTGTTGATTGTTTCCTTTGCTGTGCAGAAGCTTTTGATCTTGATGAAGTCCCAAGGGCTCATTTTTGCTTTTGTTTCCTTTGTCTTTGGAGGTGTGTCTTGAAAGAAGTTGCTGTGGCTGATGTCGAAGAGGTTACTGCCTATGTTCTCCTCCAAGATTCTGATGGATTCCTGCCTCATGTTGAGGTCTTTTATCCATTCCGAGTTTATCTTTGTGTATGGTGTCAGAGAATGGTCGAGTTTCATTCTTCTATACATAGAGGAATGTCCAATTTTCCCAGCACTATTTATTGAAGAAACTGTCTTTTTTCCACAGGATATTTTTTCCTGCTTTGTTGAAGATTATTTGACCATAGAGTTGAGGGTCCATATCTGAACTCTCTACTCTGTTCCACTGGTCTGTGTGTCTGTCTTTGTGCCAGTACCATGCCGTCTTGGTGATCACAGCTTTGTAGTAAAGCTTGAAATCAGGCAACATGATGCCCCCAGCTTTGTTTCTCTTTTTCGACATTTCCTTGGCAATTTGGGGTCTTTTCTGGTTCCATACAAATTTAAGATTGTTTGTTTCAGCACTTCGAAAAATGCTGATGGTATTTTGATCAGGATGGCATTGAAAGTATAGATTTCTCTGGAAACTTGAAAAAATTTTTAAAAATCTGTTTGAAAATAATCCTTTTGATCTCAGTTTGCACGTGCAATCTGTCAGCAGGATAAATTCCTAGAGGTTGCGAAACTTGGGGAAGGACATGCAGATACAGTTTTTCAGGGAAGGGAGTATGGTGGGCAGGAACAGAGCATGGTCCCAGCACTTAGCACACTTGTGTTACTTTTCAAATTTTTCTTTAGTCTATCAACTCCTTGAGCTCAGGCCTCGTTTTTTGTTTTTGTTTTTCGTTCCCCACTAATTTCATTGCTTGAGGTTGAGTCTGGGCTAGTTAGAAGCTGCTCAGAGGTGCTTGTTGAATGGATGAATGAAGGCATTAAAGAAACAATGAGTGAATCTGTCCATAAATGGACTCATGAGTCAAAGGCCTGGTTATAAATGGAGGAATGAAGGAGCCCACTAAGCGATATGTGATAGAGTCAGCCAAGGAACAACCCAGTCCCTTCCATGATCCGCCAGTCCCCCAGTTGGTGGCTCCATATTAGAGGGCCCATGAGTGCTTCTGAGTGGTGGTCTGTGTTCAGCCAACATTGCTCAGCAAGGACCGCAGCAGTGCTGGGGTTAAGGGCCCATCGCAGTGCCCAGGAATGCGTGATGGTGCCTTCAAAGAGCCCAGCCGTGTTTCTAAGGAGCTGCCGGTTTCTGAACCACCTCTCAAGGTCATCACATTTTCCCACCCAGCCAGAGCTCGGGAAGGGGATGGAGGCCAGAACAGTGGAGAGGAGACCTACTTCGTGCTGCTCGGGCTCTCCCGGTGCCTGTGGGCTACGACCGTCTTCTGCCTGCTCATCCTGACCTGCGTTGTCACCGTTTTCGGGAATGGCCTCATCCTGCTCCTGCTCTCCCACGGTCCCTGGCTCCACACGTCCATGTCCTTCTTCCTCAGCAGCCTGTCCCTCGTGGGCGTGTGCTTCACCATGTCCCGCGTGCCCCAGATGCTCGCCAACTGCTCGCTGACTCTTCCCGTCGTCTCGCTCGCACACTGCTTGGCCCCAATGGCCGTGGGGCCCTCTCTGAGTGTTGTGGAGTGTCTCCTGCTGGCCGCCATGGCCTGTGATAGCTGTGTGGCCATCATGGACCCCTGGCGCTACTCTTTGCACATGGGGCCCCGACTTTGCGGCCTGTTGGCCAGGACCTTGTGGACAGCGGTGTTCCTGCTGACCATGGTCCCTGTGCTGGCTGTGCCCTTGGAGTTCTGCGGCCACCAGGTCATCAGTCACTTCTCGTGTGAACTCCTGGCCCTGCTCCAGCTGGCCTGCTCTCACCGACTATTCTGTGAGGCGCTCACAGTGCGTGCCGGTGCCCTGATCCTGCTATGGCCTCCTACAGAAGGCTCCGTGGCGCACTGCAGAGGGCCACGGCCAGGACTTCTCCACGTGTGGGTCTCGCTTTGCTCTTCTGCGGCCAGAAGAGCAGCCACAGCGAGGTGCGGGTCTCGCCTCGCTCTTCTGTGGCCATCCCCCCATACGTGGCGCTCCAGGAGAAGGTCACCCATGACGGAGACAAGGTCATCTCCACGTGCTATGGCATCCTCACCCCCACGGTGGACCCTGTCATAGGCAGCCTGCGGAATAAGGACAGGAAGGGCGTGTTCAGGAGGCTCTTGGGGAGAAAGCCTGACTTCTGAGATGCGGGGCCGAGGAGGGGGAAAGAAATTTCTATTTTGGATGGCCTGCTCTGCGCTGTAAACTGTCAGTTCCTCCTTTGCAGCCCTTCTACGGTTTATCACAAACACACTCACTCACACTCACACACACACACCTTCACACTCACACACAAGAACTCGGGTTTAAAAAATGTCTTTCCTCTGTGCAAGCGAAGCGAGAGCCAATTCTGTGTGAGTGTGTGTGAGTGTGTGTGTTAAGGACTGTGTGTGAGTGTGTGTGAGACGTGGACACGGAAGGGGCTGTCCCAGACATTCTCAGTGGCTGAAGGGGCGGAGGGCTGGGTGGATGCTGGCCATTGGCTGCTGATCTGGGACCCTGTGGCCAGCCAGAGGTGCGTCCTCCACTTCTGTTGCCTCGGGAGCCCCTCTGGGAAGATGCACCCTGGGGGTATGTTGCAGCGGTCGGGTCGGTGCGGGGGGCCTGCTATCTCTCACCCCTGCCCAGCTGTACCTTCCCGCTGGGGCCGTGCCTTTCTGCCCAGCACTGTGAAAGGTCTGGGAGTCAGATGCTGGAAAAGTCGGGGTGTCCAGGTCAGGGACAGAGACTGTCAGGACGCACAGCTAAAGTGGTATTTTGTGTCAGTTTGGTTCTGTTCTGCACGTGCCCTGAGTCCTACAGGGACGTGAGCAAGGGGCTCGCTGCGATAGCTGCCTGGGCGTGGGCTGTGCATCGGGTCGGGGATGCTGGGTGTGGAGGGTTTGCTCTGGTTGTGGGGATTCTCACAGCAGACGCAGCCCTGACATGTGGCCGGGTGGCACTGGCACCAGGGGGAGATCTGCACGGACACTGAGCCCCAGGGATGCCTGCTGCTTTCCCCTCCCGCTCTGGTGCGCTCTGGCGGGCCCGTGTGGCAAAAGGGGAGCATGGAAGCATGGAGAGGGACAGTGAATGGCACCAAGACCCAACACCGGCCGTACACACTCAGGTAATTCAGAAGCTGCTGTCCGAGGTGCCGTGAGAGAGCCCCAGTAAAAGACTCCAAATCAGGGCGCCTGGGTGGCGCGGTCAGTTGAGTATCTGACGGTTGATCTCAGCTCGGGTCTTGATCTCAGGGTTGTAAGTTCGAGCCCCCCAAAACCCAAAAGACTCTAAGAAAAATAATCTCCCACGTTCTCACCAGCCGTCCTTGACTTTCCCACTGATGCCACCTCCGGTCCTTGCCCACGTTCATTTTAGAAGTTGTACTGACTTCTGTCTTCCAGTATGGTCATTAAAAAATACAGTGTTTGTCCTAGGAAAGGTCTCTCTTAAAGAGCTACGCATAAGGTCTTACCAAACACAGCCTTAATTTCTTTTTTAAAAAATTTTTTCAGGGCGCCTGGGTGGCTCAATGGGTTAAGCCTCTGCCTGCAGCTCAGGTCAAGATCTCAGGGTCCTGGGATCCAGCCCCGCGTCAGGCTCTCTGCTTGGTGGGGAGCCTGCTTCCTCCTCTCTCTCTCTCTCTGCTTCTCTGCCTACTTATGGTCTCTGTCAAATAAATAAATAAAATCTTAAAAATTTTTTTCAGTGTTCCAGAATTCATTGTTTATGCCCCACACCCAGTGCTCCATGCAATCCGTGCCCTCCTTAATACTCACCACCAGGCTCACCCAACCCCGCCACCCCTCCAAAACCCTCGGTTTGTTTCTCAGAGTCCACAGTCTCTCATGGTTCGTCTCCCCCTCCGATTTCCCCCAACTCCCTTCTCCTCTCCATCTCCCTATGTCCTCCATGTTATTCCTTATGCTCCACAAGTAAGTGAAACCATATGATAATTGACTCTCTCTGCATGACTTATTTCACTCAGCATAATCTCCTCCAGTCCCGTCCATGTTGCTACAAAAGTTGGGTATTCGTCCTTTCTGATGGAGGCATAATACTCCATAGTGTATATGGACCACATCTTCCTTATGCATTCGTCCGTTGAAGGGCATCTTGGTTCTTCCCACAGTTTGGCGACTGTGGCCATTGCTGCTATGAACACTGGGGTACAGATGGCCCTTCTTTTCACTACATCTGTATCTTTGGGGTAAATACCCAGGAGTGCAATTGCCGGGCCATAGGGAAGCTCTATTTTTAATTTTTTTTAAAGATTTTATTTATTTTTTTGACAGAGAGAGAGATCACAATCCCAGGACCATGAGATCATGACCTGAGCTGAAGGCAGAGGCTTAACCCACTGAGCCACCCAGTGCCCCTATTTTTAATTTCTTAAGGAATCTCCACACTGTTTTCCAAAGTGGCTGCACCAACTTGCATTCCCACCAACCGCGTAAGAAGCTTCCCCTTCTCCACATCCCCTCCAACATACATTGTTTAACGTCTTGTTAATTGTGGCCATTCTAACTGGTGTAAGGTGGTGTCTCAATGTGGTTTTGATTTGAATCTCCCTGATGGCTAGTGATGATGAACATTGTTTCATGTGTCTGATAGCCATTTGTATGTCTTCTTTGGAGAAGTGTCTGTTCATGTCTTCTGCCCATTTTTTGACGTGATTATCTGTTTTGTGTGTGTTGAGTTTGAGGAGTTCTTTATAGATCTTGGATTTTATTTTTAAGTGATCTCTACACCCAGCGTGGGGTTTGAGCTCATGACCCTGAGGTCCAGAGCTGTGTTCCCTACTGACTGAGCCAGCCGGACACCCCATAATTCTCTCTCTACAAAGTTGTAGCAAACACCTCCAGCTGGCTTCTCCATTATTTTTAGCGGATCTGGCCATACTTGTGTAGAGACTCTAAATGTCTCATCGGCCCTCACTCAGCAATTTCAACTTTCATACTAGAGACAGCACAACAGACCCATCCCCGGTGGGGATGGGAGCTCATTCTCTGTTGAAACAGTGATCAGCTCTGGGAGTACAGTACTGTCTACTTAACTCATATAGTCTTCAAATTGCTTGTGGGTTAGATATAGTAATTGTTGGCATCATAGAAATGAGGAAACTGAGGCACTGAGTCCACATTCTTATTCTATGACAGAGCAGACTCTTTTTTAAAAAAAAATTATTGTGTTATATTAGTCACCATCATTAGTATCTGATGCCGTGTTCCAAGATTCATTGTTTGCATGTAACACCCAGTTCTCCATGCAATCTGTGCCCTCCTGGATACCCACCACCAGGCTCACCCAACCCCCCACCCCTCCCCTCCAAAACCCTCAGTTTGTTTCTCAGAGTCCATAGTCTCTCATGGTTCATCTCCCCCTCCAATTTCCCCCAACTCCCTTCTCCTTTCCTTCTCCTAATGTCCTCCGTGTTATTCCTTATGCTCTGCAAGTAAGTGAAACCATATGATAATTGACTTTCTCTGCTTGACTTATTTCACTCAGCATAATCTCTTTTTTAAAAAATTTTTAGGGGCGCCTGGGTGGCTCAGTGGGTTAAAGCCTCTGCCTTCAGCTCAGGTCATGATCCCAGGGTCCTGGGATCGAACCCTGTGTCAGGCTCTCGGCTCAGTGGGGAGCCTGCTTCCTCCTCTCTCTCTGCCTGCCTCTCTGCCTACTTGTGATCTCTCTCTCTGTCAAATAAATACATAAAATCTTTAAAAAATTTTTTTAAAATTTTCATTAACATATAATGTATTATATGCTCCAGGGGTACAGGTCTGTGAATCATCAGTCTTACACAATTCACAGCACTCACCATAGCACAAACCCTCCCCAATGTCCATCACCCAGTCACCCTGTCCCTGCCTCACCACCCCTCAAGCAACCCTCAGTTTGTTTTGTGAGATTAAGAATCTCTTATGGTTTGTCTCCCTCCCAGTCCCATCTTGTTTCATTTTTTCCTTCTCTACCCCCATGACGCACCACCCCACCTCTCATATTCCTCATATCAGAGAGTGATTGACTTATTTCATTCAGCACAATACCCTCTAGTCCCATCCACGTAGTTTTAAATGATAAGATTTCATTTCTTTTGATGGCTGCATAGTATTCCACTGCATATTTATCTATCACATTTTCTTTATCCATTCATCTGTTGAAGGGCATCTTGGCTCTTTCCACAGTTTGGCTACTGTGGACATTGCTGCAATGAACATTGGGGTGCATATGGCCCTTCTTTTCACTACATCTGTATCTTTTGGGTAAATACCCAGTAGTGCAATTGCTGGGTCACAGGGTAGCTCTATTTTTAACTTTTTTTTTTTTTAAGATTTTATTTATTTGACAGAAATCACAAGTAGACAGAAAGGCAGGGCAGAGAGAGAGGAGGTAGGCTCCCTGCTGAGCGGAGAGCCCAATGTGGGGCTTGATCCCAGGACCCTGGGATCATGACCTGAGCCGAAGGCAGAGGCTTTAACCCACTGAGCCACCCAGGCACCCCTATTTTTAGCTTTTTAAGGAAACTCCATACTGTGCTCCACAGCTCCCACCTGGCCATGGCTCTTTCATATGGTGTGGCTACCGCCATGTCCCTGTGTCCCCTGGGCTGCAGAGCCTCCATGCCAAACTCCACAAACTATGTCATCTCACTTTGGTCCTGAACCCACTCGCCGACAGCCTTCAACACCACGAGGTCTGCGCTGCAGCCTTGTATGCCCTGGCTGGGCTCTGGGGTTGTGCACTGCACTTGGCATACCTGGAGGGGTTGGAAACAGAGCTGGACACTTAGCACTGGGGTCTTGTATGCATCACTCCCTCTCTATGACCTTCTGTGCACCTTTTGGTGCATTCTGTCTCCACCAATTTCCATGCATAGGTCAGAGATTCTACCACATTATCTATAAAGGGCCAGAGAGTAAATATTTTCAGCTCTGGCAGCTCCGTGCTCTCTGTTGTACCTGCTCAGCTCTGTCATCATAGCCCGAAGGCAGCCACAGACCATGAATGAATGAGGGACAGGCTGTATTCCCAAACATTTTAGTGAGATTTGAATTGTATATAATGCTCATGTGTAACAAAATATTCTTCTTTTGATTTTCTTTCCAAGCATTTATTTAATAATGTAAAAATATTCCTCCCTCCCTTCCTCCCTCTCCCT